AGGGAGGAGGAAGAGGAGGAGGGGGAGGAGGAGGAGGAGGTGCAAGAGATGCAAGAGGTGCAACAGATGCAAGAGAGAAACTTAGAATGAGATAAAGATAGAGAGAGAGAAGTGAGGCTGGAAATGCACACGGTTATCGTAAACACAAACACACACACACACACACAACCACACACACACACACACATAGAGATACGACTGCCCTTTTCCTACCTGAAGTAAATATTCCAACTGACTTTGGCTTTTATACGTTGCATTGAATCACCGTAAAAAACGCATACAACGACGAGAATGACTTTCGAGTGAATGCGGGCGGGTGCATTCTTTTTTTTTCCMCTTTTTTTTTTTTTCTTCTTTTCTTTTTACAGAAAAGAAGTACGATGATGATGATTCAATGAGAAAGATGAGAAACAAAAATACAAATATACAAAAAAGTACAGAAAAATTAGGGAAGAGGTGAGAGAGATAAAAAAAAAAAGGGAGAGTGGGGTAAGAAAGGGGGGGGGGGAGTGGGAATTGAGGAAGATCGGGAGGGTGGGGCGGGGGAGTGGGATGAAAAATAATTCGAATAATTCATTTTCTTTTCACGACGAAAACATATCCCATTTTTTTCTTTTTTTTTTTTTAACGACTCCTATTCACGTTTTTTTTCATTCTATCGATTTTTTTTCTCTTTCCCCTCGCATTTTCTTTCTTTCTTTCTTTTTTTTATTTGTTTTTCTTTTTTTACTCTCTCTAGAATACGAATATAATTTAAAATTCACTCTTCGAGATTCTCGATTTAATTGAATTGAATTTAAATTGAATTGTATAGTTTTTATCTTTAGAGCCGCCTATTTAAGATTCTCGCTTAAATAATTTCTATTTCTATTTTTTTTTTTCATTTTTTTTTTTTCAAAGAATATTTCAATATACAATTCGAATTCTAAACATTCGATAAACATCCTTATTAATATTTCTACCATCTTAATAGAATCCCTTCGTTATTATTCCATAGAGATTACGAACACAAGAATATATATTTATTATATTTATGAAACAAGAAAA